ATATTGCCTTTAAACATTACTCTGCTTTAAACTTCGCCACAACTTTGTCCCCTCACTTGTCTTGTTTCCGTCTTCAAATAAAACAATCTCATTCATTAACTCCTCCATGGAGCTTTATGACACACAGTTAAACTATATTCACTACTTAAGGGACTTTTGAAGGCCAATCAAACCATAAAAGTCACTGAAAAGCAACTCAGCCACTTTAAGAACAAGTTACTGTGTCATCATTACATTCGTGGCGAGTTGTCGGGGACAACATAAATGGGGACTTTCCACAAACAAGACTTGCTCTAATGAGAACCTAAAAAATGTCCTGCTCCGCAGAAGCGGCTGTATTTATATACCGGCAGAAAGCAGGAGAGGACGGCTCGTCTGCCCCACTTCTCAAGAACGGTCCAAAAATAAGTCAAGGACAAGCAGGCAGAAAAGAAATGGTGAGTAAGCAGAGGAGCTTTGCAGGTGCTGGAGCTCAGTCAGGGAGAAGACACAGAGCAGCTGCTGTGTCGTACAATGACTTAGTCTTCACCCAGTAAACACACATTGGAAATGGAGACTTGTAATGCCACTGATGAATATTTCAACAACGTTTAATATTTTAAACCTTTATTGCTCAACAACAACAACAAAAAGAAAATTTAATAAGTAACAATTAGAGAAAAAAAGAAAAGGGTACCTTACTGGATTACATAATAAACTTCTCAGAAATGAATCACTTCTGTCAGCACCTGAATCTATATCAACTCTATCCCCTACATGAGGTCTATATGTAGCACACTCCATTATGTGTTGATACTTACTGAAGCTGATAAATGCTACTGGCTTTATTTTTAAGTTTACATCTAGTTATTGGCTCACATAAGCTTCAGACCAATTCTGCACAAGCTCAAGTCACGGCAAAAGGCATGCGCTAAATGTATATTACAGATTTGCACTGATACAGCTTACGCAGGAAGCAGTTACGAGACAGAACTCTCTCCACCTACTGGCAGAAAGATTAAAGGCAAGGGGGAAAAAAAGCAGATGGAAAATCTGGTACATTCAATGAGGAGAACTTAGAAACCCGTTGAGAATCTTAATTGTGCAAATTAGATAGAGGATACATTTTACTTATAGCACACTGAAAGGAAATGGCATCAGTAAGGTCAGAAAATGCAAAAAAATAATCAGAATAAAATCTACTATATACAAATTAAGCTTAAAGTTATTACATGGCAGTGTAACGCTTAAATCAAACTTTTCAAGAAATGTGATGTGAAGAGGCTCTTACAGGTGCAAACTTCTCTGCTTCAGGTTAGGTGTTTACAACACAAACACCATAAATAAATTAAATATGGAGTTATTTTCACTTAAGTCAGGGAGGTGAGAAATGAAGAGTTACCTACTGCAAGCACGAGTTTTAAAGGTTAGACATACTGAACAAACACCAAACTGTCACAAGGAAAAAAGTTATAGCTGCAATCTTCAGCAGGTTAAATATTATATGTGGAGAAGCGCTCACACAAACAAGATCTAAGCCAACATCTAATTATTAAAAACATATTTTTACAAGGCTGGGTATTATTTTAAGACAATTTTGGAAGGAGGCTTTCATAAATCTAAAGCCAATTCAAAAAAAAAAAAAAA